CTACAGTTGACTCCACGCATTCAAAATGTAGCCTGGGAATTGTGTTCTGGGAGCACGAGGAACACGAAGTGGCCTACAGTTGGCTCCGGGCATTCAACATGTGGCCTGGGAATGGTGTTCTGGAAACACGAAGAACACGAAGTGGCCTACAGCTGGCTCCGGGCATTCAACATGTGGCCCTGGAATGGTGTTCTGGGAACACGAAGAACACGAAGTGGCCTACAGTTGGCTCTGGGCATTCAAAATGTGGCATGGGAATGGTGTTCTGGGGAATCCCCGGATCCTCCCCGGCACCCGCCCAGACCCTCCTGGGGAGTACCGGGGAGTCCCCGGATTCTCCCTGGCATCCGCCCAGACCCCCCTGGGGAGTCAAGATGCTCCCTTTTGAGCCCGCTAGAAGCCTATCAGTCTTCGCTGTTAGGTAAAAACGACCCAGCAGCACCCCAATGACAACGATCACACGGGCACTCGACAGCCGTGCACCAATACGGGCTGGCGGAATGAGCGAGGCGATGAAAATAATATGAGCTGCGGGCCCCATAGGGAGGCTCCGTCCTGAGACTTCCCCGCCAATCACAAACGATGATAATTCGGGGGTGATATTCCTGCGCGGGGGTGTCCAGAGAAAAATTATCCCGGCAAAGTAAGCTAACAGCGATGCGTAGAAGCATATCTGAAAGCATTCCCCTTAAGATTTAGGTCAATATCCAGTTGTAGAATTCTGCTGTTCTCGCAGTCGCAGCCTCCGCCTGCCTCGGCTTGCCTCGGCCTCAGCCTCAGCCTGCCTCAGCCTCAGCCTCAGCCTGCCTCGGCCTCAGCCTGCATCAGCCTCAGCCTGCCTCAGCCTCAGCCTCAGCCTGCCTCAGCCTCAGCCTGCCTCAGCCTCAGCCTGCATCAGCCTCAGCCTCAGCCTGCCTCAGCCGCAGCTTGCCTCAGCCTCAGCCACAGCCTCAGCCTCAGCTTCAGCCTGCCTCAGCTTCAGCCTCAGCCTCAGCCTGCCTCGGCTTGCCTCAGCCTCAGCCTCAGCCTGTCTCGGCCTCAGCCTCAGCCTCAGCCTGCCTCAGCCTCAGCGTCGGCCTCTCAGCCTCAGCCTGCATCAGCCTCAGCCTCAGCCACAGCCTCCGCCTCAGCCTCAGCCTGCCTCAGCTTCAGCCTCAGCCTCAGCCTGCCTCGGCCTGCCTCAGCCTCAGCCTCAGCCTGCCTCGGCCTCAGCCTCAGCCTCAGCCTGCCTCAGCCTCAGCCTCAGCCTGCCTCAGCCTCAGCCTGCATCAGCCTCAGCCACAGCCTCAGCCTGCCTCAGCATCAGTCTCAGCCTGCCTCAGCCTCAGCCTGCCTCAGCCTTAGCCTCACAGTTGGCTCCAGGCAATCAAAACGTAGCCTGGGAATGATGTTCTGGGAACACGAAGAACACGAAGTGGCCTACAGTTGGCTCCGGGCATTCAAGATGTGGCCCGGGAATGGTGTTCTGGGAACACGAAGAACACGAAGTGGCCTACAGCTAGCTCCGGGCATTCAAAATGTGGCCCGGGAATGTTCTGGGAACACGAAGAACACGAAGTGGCCTACAGTTAGCTCCGGGCATTCAAAATGTGGCCCGGGAATTGTGTTCTGGGAACACGAAGAACACGAAGTGGCCTGAAGTGGCCTACAGTTGGCTCCGGGCATTCAAAATCATGCCCGGGAATGGAGTTCTGGGAACTCGAAGACCACGAAGTGCGTTACTGTTTGCTTAAAACGAGTTCCTCGGCATCCCCCGGGCATCCTCCCCCCGATCGCGCCCAGACCCCCCTGGGGCGTCAGGATGCTCTCTTTTGACCCTACTAGAAACCTATCAGTCTTCGCTGTTAGGTAAAAATTTGGTGGTGATGATGAAGATGATGATGATGAGGAGGAGGAGGATCAATGACCATCATGGGATGATGGTAGTGATGATTGATGATGATGATGGTGCGGTGGTGACAGTGATGGCGAGTGTGATAACATGGAGGAGGAGAAGAAGTGTGAGGTGAGGTGTGTGAGGACTGCGCGGGGGGCGCAAAGAAAACAAGAACCCAATGTTGGATATGGGGAATCGTGGTTAACCTCAGAGACAACACTATGTTGATACTGAACATCACCCGCAACAGCATAATCTCCCCTCATCCTCACCATCATCGTCAACAGCAGCATCATCAGCATTATCAGAATCGGCATCGTCATAATGCGCGTCACTATCATCATCAACATCGTCACATCACCACCACCACCATCAACATAATCAATATCGTCATATTCAAAATCATCATCACCCACAACAACAGCAACAGCAGCCGTCGCATCCTCACCATCACCCATGACACCATCACTATCATCTGCAGCAGCAGCCGGCGTCGTCGGCGGCATCATCATCAACATCATCACCATCGTGATAATCAGCATCGTCATGAGCATCATTAGCAAAATCAGCATCATCGTCATCATCATCGTCGTCGCCATAATCACCATGATTATCATCATGTTTATCATCATCAGCATCATCATCAGCAGCATCATCATCAATACATCGTGGTCATCATGAACAACGTCAACATCATCATCATCATCATCAGCATCATCATCATCATCATCATCATCCTCATCCTCCTCATCATCATCATCGGCAGCAGCAACATCATCCATCACCGTCATCAATATAATCATGATCGCCAGCAGCGGCATCTTCGTCGCCGGTATCATCATTATCCGCCGCCATCAACATACGTAGCAACATGGGCAGCAGTAGCATCAGAATCTGCATCAGCATCATCAGCATCATCATCAGCAGCATCATCATCCTGATCAATGTAAACATCATCAGCAGTAGCAGCGTCATCATCATCATCAGCAGCAGCATGTTCATATTCCTATTCACCATCATCGTCATCAACAGCATCATCATCAGCAACATCGTCATCATCATTAAAATTAGCAGGTCATCATCAGCATCACAATCAGCATCATCATCACCAGCAGCATTGTCATTATTATCATCATCTTCATCGTCACCATCATCGTCATCGTCATCTGCATCAGGAGCAACAGCAGCAGCAGCTTGAGCACCATCATCAGAACCATCAACATCAACAACAGCGTCGTCGTGTCATCAACATCATCATTATGATCAGCATAATCATCGCCGCCACTACCATCATCAGCAGCAGCATCGTCGTCATCATCATCAGCAGCATCAGCATCAGCATTATTATCCGCATCAGCCTCAGCATCAACATCATCATCATCATCATCTCGACCATCATCATCAACATCATCAGCATCATCATCACCACCACCACCACCACCATCATCATCACCATCATCATCATCATCATCATCATCATCATCATCATCATCACCATCACCATCACCATCACCATCACCATCACCATCACCATCACCATCATCATCATCATCATCATCATCATCCTCCTCCTCCTTCCCTCGGTCTCCCATATGGCGCTCCTGCATCTCCGCCATGTCCTCGGCGGCCGCCTGCGCGGTCTCCTCGGCGCCACGCGCGCAGGGGAGCGGACTCCCTCCAGGAGGAGGAGGTGGAGAAGGAGGACGCGGAGGACGACGACAACGACTGCTCCTCCTCCTCCTCCTCCTCCTCCTCCTCCTCCTCCTCCTCCTCCTGCTTATCCTTCCCCTCCCCCTCCACCCCATTCCCCTCCTCCTTCTCCTCTTCCTCCTTTTCGTTTTCCTTATGCTACTCCTCATCGGATCCTCCGTGGGAGGAGGGGGGCGGAGGAGGAGGGCGTGGGACGTGGGCCCAGCGCCGACCAGCGAAAGCCACCTGGACCGCCGGAAACTCACGTCGGCATATCGAATATGGTTCGTCCTCAAAACAACGAAAAGAACGAGGCGGCCCCCGGAGGTCAGCACCGGCATCATCCGCAGGCCATCCAGAGGCATCCGTGCACTTCCCCTCGAATCCCGAATCCCGAACCTCGAACCTCCTCCGAAGAGAAGGACGACGACGATGAGCCCGTTCGCTGGAAATGGTAAAGCTCTCTCCTCATCCTCCTTCTCGGGGCGCCAGCGGCGGAATGGCGCCCGTAGACCGCCGACGCTGAATCACTACAGTCATCGGCCTGACCTAAGGAACGATGAATAAGGAACGAAGCCCATGTTCTCCAAAGGAATAGCGCATGAGGAACGATAAGGAACGATAAATAAGGCATGCAAATCCAAGGAACGACCGAGCTCCTTTTGAAAAGCAAGTGTTCCTTATTCAAGCCGCTCACGGTAAACCCGGTCGCCCGCGGGCGGCAGGGCACACATCCCATCCCACGCAGCAGGGGCACACCCGGAGGCACAGCGGCGCACCCCGGGTGGGACCCTCGACGCTGGCGATCCGCAGCGCCCCCTGGAGCCGCGCAGGGGAGGACGGGGAGGACGGGGAGGACAAGGAGGACGGAGGCCGAGGAGGACGAGGAGGAGGAGGAGGAGGAGGAAGAGGGACGATGACGATGAGGACGAGAAAGAGGAGGACAAGGAGGACGAGGAGGACGAAGGAGGACGAGGAGGGCGAGGAGAAGGAGGACGAGGAGGGCGAGGAGAAGGAGGACGAGGGACCGAAGAGGAGGGAGGACCCCGTCCTCCCTTCCTCCCTCCAGGAGGCGGGGGGGGGGGAAGAGCCGGGCCGTCGATCATGACGGCGCGGGACATCCAGGGCGGAGGGGTCCAGGAATGTCCGTGCCGAGCCGTTCGCAGGACCGCCCTGCGACGACGACGACGACGACGACGACGACGACGACGACGACGACGACGACGACGAGGACGAGGACGAGGAGGAGGACGACGACGACGAGGACGAGGACAAACGAGGACGAGGAGGAGGAACAAAGAGGAGCACGAGGAGGAGGACGAGGAAGAAGGCGGACGGCGAGGGCCACAGAGATCCTGGCGGCGAAGCGCCTCATCGTCGCGCTCCCTCCGGCAGCCGCGCAGCTCGCTCTCGAAGTCGGCGCGGCGGCGCGCCATCAGCGCGGCGGACGTCTCCTCGCCGCGCTGCCGCACGGCTGCGGAGGCCGCGAGGCCGAGCTGGAGGGCAGGCACCGCCGGCGCCCTCGTGGTCGCCCTCAACCTCGTCGTCTGCGTCCGTCCCCCCGCCACCCTCCTCGCCGCCGTCCTCGTGCTCATCGGCGACCTCATCCCCCCCAGTCCTCAACCGTCCTCTCTGCCTCATCCTACTCCTCCTCCTCCTCCTGCTCCACCTGCTCCACCTCCTCCTCCTCCACCTCCTCCTCAACCATGCCTTTGTTTATACTAAGTATTATTATCATCATCAGCAGCAGCATCATCATCACCACCGTAATTATTATTATTATCATCATCATCATCATCATCATCATCATCATCATCATCATCCTCATCATCCTCATCATCATCATCATCATCATCATCAGCATCATCATCATCAGCATCATCATCATCATCTTCATCGCCATCATCATCATCATCATCATCATCATCATCATCATCATCATCATCGTCATCATCAGCATCATCATCATCGCCATCATCATATCATCAGCATCCTAATCATCATCATCAGCAGCATCACCAGCAGCATGATCGACATCAACATCAGCATCAGCATCAGCATCAGCATCAGCATCATCACCAGCATCATCAGCATCATCATCGTCATCATCAGCATCATCATCAGCATCCTCATCATCAGCAGCAGCATCATCAGCGGCAGCAGCATCAGCATCAGCATCATCATCACCAGCATCATCACCACCACCACCACTATCTCACCACCACCACCACAACCACAACCATAATCACCGTCATCATCAACAGCAGCAGCATCAACAGCATAATCATCATCATCACGATCATCAGCATCATCATCAAAACTATAATCGTCATCATCATCATCATCACCACCATCACCAGCATCAGCATCCTCATCAGTATCATCATCATCAGCATCAGCATCAGCATCAGCATCATCATCACAATCAGCATCATCATAAGTATCGGCAGCAACAGCCCTATCAGCATCACCACCATCATTGTCACTACCATCCCGCATCATGAGAATGTTCATCATCGGCATCATCATCATCATCATCATCATCATCATCATCATCATCATCATCAGATTCATCACCAGCATCAGTATCATCATCAGCATAGTCAGCATCATGAGCACCAGTATCATCGGCAGCATCGGCATCACCACAACCATCGTCATCATAATGTTAAGCATCAACATCATCAACATCATCATCATGATAATCTTAAATATCAGCATCATCGTCATCAGCGTCGTCATCATCGTCATCAGCAGCAGCAGCAGCATCAGCATCATCATCATCATCAGCATCAGCAGCATCAGCATCAGCATCAGCATCAGCATCATCAGCATCATCATCATGCTCCTCCAACACCTCCTCGTCCTCGTCGCCCTCCTGGCGCACGGCCTTCGGCAGTCATCGCCGCCGCCGTCGACCTCCTCCTCCTCCTCCTCTGCCTCCTCCTCCTCCTCCTCCCCCTCCTCCTCCCCTTCCTCCTCCTCCCTCTCCTTCTCCTTCTCATTCGTCTTCTCCTTTTCCGTCTCCTTCTCCTTCTCTTCCCCCTCCTCCTTCACCTCCTCCTGCTCCACCTCCTCATCCTCGCCCTCCTCCTCCTTCACTTTTCCAGGATCGAAAGCGGCTGAAGGCTGGAACACAGCAAGGAGGTGCTTAAACTTAAACTGTCTCCACCACTCACCCCCTTTGGGCCCTCCCCCCCTACCCTCAGGGCCCTCCATCTCGTCCTCGAACTCCTCTTCCTCCACCTTCTCAGTATTATGCAGGGAGTGGGTGGATGTGAAGGGGAGAGGGAGTGGGCACATCCCATCTTCCCCATCGACGTGGCTACATCCCATAGTTCCCATTATCACCATGGTCATTATGATCAGCCTTATCATCATCACCATCATCGAGAGTAGATCTGAACCGTGATGTTCGACACTACGCTGCGACACTACACTATCTTCATTAGTGTGGTGTCATGTCCACGCGACAGTGATACTACACTATGACACTACACTTAGGTTTAATATGGTGTCATAGTGCAGTGTCAGAGGATACCAGGTGTGAAACTACACTATGACACTACAGTACGGTTGAGGAGGGAGAGACGGACGACGTTGTTGTTCTGTTTGGTGTTCCGTAGGTTTTGCTCACCTCGACCCCGCGAGAGAGGTCTCTCCGCTGCGGTTAGTGTGGTGCCATAGTGTAGCGTCGCACCCAAGTGCCCCCAACATTACACATGACACCGCATGAACCGTATTGTAGAGCACTCTCTCGCGGAGCCGAGCCAAACACAACCCTAAGGAACAGCAAGCGTAAAACAAATTCTTCCGCCCCCCCTCCTCAGCCGTAGTGTAGTGTCATAGTGTAGTGTCGCATTCTGGTGTCCCCAACACTATACTATGACACCACAGTGTTTAACCGTTGCGTAGAGCCCTCTCTCGCGGAGCTGAGCCAGTCAAAAATCCTACGGAACAGCAGACAAAACAAAAACTCAGCCCCTCTCCTCAGTCGTAGTGTAATGTCATAGTGTAGTGTCGCACCCCGGTGTCCCCAACATTATACTATGACACCACAGTGTTTAACCGTTGGGTAGAAGTCTCTCTCGCGGAGAGGAGCCAGTCAAAAACCCTACGGAACAGCAGACAAAAAAACTCAGCCCCTCTCCTCCGCTGTTAGTGTCTATGACACCACAGTAACAGTAACGTAGAGTCCTCTCTCGTGGAGGGGAGCCAGTCGAACACCCTACGGAACAGCAGGCAACAAAAAAATCAGCCCCTCCTCGGCCGTAGTGTAGTGTCATAGTGTAGTGTCGCACCCCAGTGTCCCCAACACTATGCTGTGACACCACGGCAACAGTAGCGTAGAGTCCTCTCTCGCGGAGCGGAGCCAATCAAAAACCCTAAGGAACAGCAGGAAAAAAAAATCCTGCCCCTCTCCTCAGCCGTAGCGTAGTGTCACAGTGTAGTGTCGCACCCCAGGTGTTCCCAATACTATACTATGACACCACAGTAACAGTAGCTTAGAGTCCTCTCTCGCGGAGCGGAACCAGTCAAGAACCCTACGGAACAGCAGACAGAAAAAACTCAGCCCCCCTCCTCGGCCGTAGTGTAGAGTCATAGTGTAGTGTCGCACCCCAGTGCCCCCAACACTATACTATGACACCACAGTAACCTTAGTATACTGCCATACTGTAGTGTTACAAGCAAGGGCTCTCAACACTACACTATGACACCACACTAACTTCACTCTCTAGACGAATATGAGTTCCAATTCATGAGTAATATAAACCCTTCTCATCATCATCATTAGCAGCAGCAGCATTCTCATCATCATCAGCATCATCTTCATAATCGTCAGCATCGTCAGCATCATCATCATCATCATCATCATCATCATCATCAGCAGCATCAGCAGCATCATCAGCAGCATCATCATCGTCATCAGCACCACCACAATCACCATCATCAGCAGCATAAGCATAATCAACATAATCAGCATCATCAGATTGTTGCCCCTTGTCTGACTTCTCCTCCTGATCTGTATCATCGTCCTCCCCCTCAAGAATCATCGCCAACAGCGCCGTCATCGTGGTCGCCCCGCCTTCATCCCTTTCCTCTTGCAGGCTGCGCGTCGCTGCGCAATACACCCGAGCTAGAAACCGCAGGGCTGACAGACGGACCAAATGGACAATACGAAAGGCACTTGTTTCTCTCTAACAGAAAACCTTGCAACGCACAAAAGAAAGACCAAGGGTAACAGTGCCAGTGAAAAATGGCACGAACGACACTGAAATTAGGAACGGTTTTCAAAACAGAATCAGACGAATAACGCAGGTTAATCCCACTGGCCCTCTGTGCGGTAAGTATGGGGAGTTCTTCTTCTGACCTTCTCTTTCCATTCCGGGAGACTGTTACCTATACCCATATCCCCACTCCCTGGGTCTGGCCATGGCATTTCGCGAGGGGTTGGAGCGTCCGAGATGGCCCAAGATGGCCACAAGAGGGCCCGGGATAGCAAAGATGGCCATCAATATCGCACAAGACAGCCCAGGATGGCTCAAGATAGCTTCCGACATGCCTCCAAGAGGCGTCATGACCGTCCCAAGACGCCTGCTGGCGGCCACCGAGCCTCGTTCGGAGCCCCCGACAGACCAAAAGTCAGATCAAGCACTGAGAGAAAATAATGTGTGTTGTAGTGTCGTCTTGTCGCTTCCGATGAGCTTCTAAGGCCTCGAGATAGCTGCAATATAGCCCAACAGAGTCCCAAGAGGGGCCCTAGATGGGCCCAAGAAGATAGCCCCAAGAGCGCTAAAGAGCGCCATAAAGCGCCCCAAGAGACCCACGAGATGACCCGCCAAAGCCCTCAAGATCCCAAAGAGGTGCCCAAAAGAACCCACGAGGGCCCACTGACAGCCTCAAAGGCCTCCACGATGGCCCCCCAGTGGCCACAAGATGCCTCCAAGAGGCTCCTAGGGCGTGAGCGCACGCAACTACACATCTCTGATAAGGGCAACTCGCCCAGCGACTGTTTTCGGATGGGCTGGTTGGGAGACGCGAGGCGTCAAGAACCCCACCAGCCCTCTGGGCGTAGGTGGTCTAAGGAGTTTCCTCTTCCAACCCCCTTCTTCTCTTTCGGGGAGGGGTTCACCCCTCCCCCCTACCCCCTCCCCTGGACATGGACGGGGGCGCCCCGCGAGGTGTCAGAGGGTACTCTGTCGCCAAACTGTTGTAACAGATCGCAGCGTTTGCCCACTGGCACGGCCCAGACAGCGCCCGCTGGGGATCTTCTGCCGAGAGATTTCCGAGCGCGCGCGTCGCCTCATGGGGGGAGGCGCCGCACACGTTGCACAAGCACGCCTTCGGCAATGCCGAAGTTCAGCGTCCCTCTGACGGGGACTCCACTAACCCGCACTTTGGCCAGTAACCCAGCGAACCCAACCCTCCCCGATGTGGGCAACGCTGCAATGCC